CAAAATAGCAAGAACAAGGGACTAGCGTCTGCAAAATTGCAAGAACAAGGGCCTAGCGTGTGCAAAATTGCAAGAACAAGGGCCTAGCGTGTGCAAAATTGCAAGAACAAGGTCCTAGCGTGTGCAAAATTTCAAGAACAAGGGCCTAGTGTGTGCAAAATAGCAAGAACAAGGGCATAGCGTGTGCAAAATTGGAAGAACAAGGGTCTAGCGTGTGCAAAATAGCAAGGACAAGGGCCTAGCGTGTGCAAAATTGCAAGAACAAGGGCCTAGCGAATGCAAAATTGCAGGAACAAGGGCCTAGGGTGTGCAAAATTTCAGGAACAAGGGCCTAGTGTGTGCAAAATTCAAGAACAAGGGCCTAGTGTGTTCAAAATAACAAGAAAAAGGGGCTAGCGTGTGCAAAATAGCAAGAACAAGGGCCTAGCGTGTGCAAAATTGCAAGAACAAGGGTCTAGCGTGTGCAGAATAGCAAGAACAAGGGCCTACCGTGTGCAAAATTGCAAGAACAAGGGCCTAGCATGTGCAAAATTGCAAGAACAAGGGCCTAGCGTGTGCAAAATTGCAAGAACAAGAGCCTAGCATGTGCAAAATTGGAAGAACAAGGGTCTAGCGTGTGCAAAATAGCAAGAACAAGGGCATAGCGTGTGCAAAATTGCAAGAACAAGGGCCTAGCGTGTGCAAAATTGCAAGAACAAGGGTCTAGCATGTGCAAAATAGCAAGAACAAGAGCATAGCGTGTGCAAAATTGCAAGAACAAGGGTCTAGCGTGTGCAAAATTGCAAAAACAAGGGCCTAGCATGTGCAAAATTGCAAGAACAAGGGCCTAGCGTGTGCAAAATTGCAAGAACAAGGGCCTAGCGTGTGCAAAATTTCAAGAACAAGGGCCTAGTGTGTGCAAAATTGCAAGAACAAGGGCCTAGTGTGTGCAAAATAGCAAAAAAAAGGGGCTAGCGTGTGCAAAATAGCAAGAACAAGGGCCGAGCGTGTGCAAAATAGCAAGAAAAAGGGGCTAGCGTGTGCAAAAATGGAAGAACAAGGGTCTAGCGTGTGCAAAATAGCAAGAACAAGGGCATAGCGTATGCAAAATTGCAGGAACAAGGGTCTAGCCATCACAAAAACCCTATGCCAAGTTTGGACGAATTTTGATCGGGATTGTCTTCGCGTAAAAAATTCGGGACCGAATTTCGACCGACGGTTTGAGTCATTTGATAGGAGCTCCGACACACATCTCGCGACAAGGCTTGGCTCGGGTCAAGTTCCAATTTGGCACGCGTGCTGTTCCGGCTGACATTCGCGCGCAATCCGTTTAGGGTCAGTTTTGTGACCAAATCATTTAAAAATGGATTTTGTTTTTGTTTTATTCTGGGAATTGAGGATTTCAGAATTACATTCAATATTCGCGGGTTACAGCTTCCATTATTCAGCATTCTAACAACCAGCAGTTTTAACACCCAGTCAAATAGTCTACGCAATGGTGGGCCCTGCAAGCCCCCGGTAGGCAAGAACAACATCTCCAAGGTCGCCATCGTCGATGAGGAACTTGTTCGGGAAGACGAACGCACCCTGAGCCGGATCGTGTGGGATGCGTCGCTCCACAACGGCAAAGTGTACCATCTGTTTGACCTTGTCACACCACTCGAAGTAGTCCGGCCTGTTTTGTTCCGGCTGGGCCGGAATACGCTTGCGGCGCTTGTCCTGCAGAAGGGGCCACTCGATCTGCAATGTGGTGTAGGGTTGGGTGGATGGTGTATGAGGGGAGGTTATGGGCATATGATCCAACTGAAAGCAGTGAAGACGTCACACCCTACGTAACCGCAAACGCCTAAGCGACCTGGGTTTTAGATGAAGTACAGGCGAGGGGTTTAGGGGATGAGGCATGGGTGTAGTGTCACGTATCTACCTCCTTACCGAAAACAGGCCCCATGCCACCATGCGGCTCTTGAACTTGGTGAACACGACCCCGCTCCTCTTGAAGGAGAGCTTGAACGCATAAGCAAACAAGGGGTTGCTGAAGGGCGTTCCGGTGGCCTTGTCAAAGTGCCAGTTGATGGTCCACTGTTCTGCATTTTGTGAGGGAGCATATGGGTTGGAAAGGGGGTGCAGATAGATCAAGTGGGGGGGTGAGAGACAGGGTCAGAGTACCACGGCACGGTTATTTGTAGCTGCTGACTGGCTTATGGGCAGGGGGATATGGTGTGTTTGAGACACACATACCATCTCTGTACTCGGCCAGGAGCTGCTCGTCGTTGAACCACTTCTCCGGGCGTAGCTCAGTGGGCAGGCTATCCACCGCATTGGCGTAATCGGAGAGACCCATGCCGGCGTACGTTGCTGGCTTGAGGGTGCTGTTGATTGTTGACCTGGTTGATGACATCTGGTGGTTGAAGACACCCATGGTTGACTTGTCGTTGTGCAACCACAGCAGCTTCATTGACTCTAGCCCTTCGTGAGACAAGTGGACAGCGAACGCCTCGAACACTTCCTCCGGTGCAGGGTAATACTGAATCTTCTCCGGGGGGTTCAGAAACAGGAGCTGAGAGCACACTAAGTAGGCTTTGCTCTGCGCATGGGTGTGGATTTACAACACGACACGGGGAGAGAGAAACCATCAATTATGACTCTGGCCGCGTGACCAACCCTCCCGCGTCCGCCACGTCAGGGAGGAACCAGCCCCACTTGCCACGTCATATCCACCCACCCTATGCCACGTCACCCCCCACCCACCCTCCTGCATCCGCCAAATCCACCAAAGACCCTCCCCACGTGACACGTCACACCCACCCTCCCCATGCCACGTCACCCCCACCCACCTGACACGTGTAGCGTCGTCACGCGCCGCTCCCGTGTACCCTTCCAAGCCGCCACGTCAGCACCAAGCCACACATCCCGCCACGTCACACGCCCTTGTGTCTGCCACGTCAGGGATCAGCCAGCCCCACGTGACACGTCACACCCACCCTCCCCATGCCACGTCACCCCCCACCCACCTGACACGTGTAGCGTCGTCACGCGCCGCTCCCGTGTACCCTACCAAGCCGCCACGTCAGCACCAAGCCACACATCCCGCCACGGCACACCCTCCTGCATCCGCCACGTCAGGGAGCAGCCAGCCCCACGTGACACGTCACACCCGCCCACCCCATGCCACGTCACCCCCCACTCACCTAACACGCGTCGCCTCGTTGAGCGCCGCTCCCTTGTGCCCTTCCAAGCCGCCACGTCAGCACCAAGCCACACATCCCGCCACGTCACACGCCCTTGCGTCCGCCACGTCAGGGATCAGCCAGCCCCACGTGCCACGTCATACCCGCCCACCCCATGCCACGTCACCAAGCCACCCACCGCACACGTGTTGCGTCGTCACGCGCCGCTCCCGTGTACCCGTCCAAGCCGCCACGTCAGCACCAAGCCACACATCCCGCCACTGCACACCCTCCTGCATCCGCCACGTCAGGTAGCAGCCAGCCCCACGTGCCACGTCACACCCGCCCACCCCATGCCACGTCACACCCCACCCACCTGACACGCGGCGCCTCGTTGAGCGCCGCTCCCGTGTGCCCTTCCAAGGTGCCACGTCAGCACCAAGCCACACATCCCGCCACGTCACACCCTCTTGCGTCCGCCGTCTAAACCCACCAACCCAACCCACTAGCCACGTCGCACACAGAGATCCGAAAGAGCCACGTCAGCCCCCGCCCACGTGTGGAGTCACGTGTGGCCCTGCACCGCTCCCGCGCACCCTTTCCAACCGCCAGGTCATTCCCAACCCTGCCCTGGTTGCCACGTCAACCCCAACCCGCCACATACCGGGAATGGGTTGGTCTCCTGCAGCACAAGCACACGTGCCTTGTCCACGGCACTCATCGGCGGCGGGGTACCACCCATCGGCACCACTGCGGCCCCACCGGCATAGCTGGCAGTTGCTCCCCGACGCAGGCCGAGCTGAGCAAACTGTTGGATGCACGTCATTCTGAGTACATGTCATCCTAACGTCCTGCTGAGTGCTCGTGCTATTTGTGCTTGCATGATTTGCATGAGCGTATGTCATTGTGCATGGCTGTTGGACATTATCATCTCTGTGTTTTTCTCCAAGTCTAACTGCTTGATCATGCAGGAGAAATCCAGAGCTTTCCAATGATACCAAGATCGCCTTATTCCGACCAAGATCGCCCAAGTTACAAGATTTCCAAGATTTGGATTTCTTATTACCTTTTTGGGGTTATATCTAATTTGGGTGATTACTTGGGACATGACTATAAAGGGATCTTTGGTTGGGTGGTTAGGAAGCCAACTTTGACTTTTGGATTGGGGTGGCTAGAAGTTTCTAGCATGGGTTGCAAATGTTGCAACACCTAGGCAAAATCCAACTAGATTGGATTTTGCATGTGACACCTCAAGGACCTCATGATGAGGGTTGCATCCTTGCTGCTAGGAAGGTTCTTACCATCCTTCCCTAGCTCTTGGAGAACCCCTTCCCTCTCATGGTTCTCTTGGAGGTCCCCAACTCCAACTTTCTATGCCCTAATGTTTGTACTTCCTCCACCATTCTAGTTATGCGGCTGCTGGACGTTTTCACTTTGTTCTCACTCTATAGACCATCTTAACGACTGATTCAACTTGGAAATGGTAGCTAAGCCTAAGACGCACCTTCCTACCGAGCGGATTTGCGTTTAGTTGAGTAATGAGTTCGTCGTAAGCTCTCAAAGTGACGGATCCTGAACAACAAGTGGTATCAGAGCGGGTAGTCGACTTTGAGACGACGAATCGTCGTGAATACTCAACTAGTGTTGTCGAGTGAGACCATTTTCTAGTAGCTCGGCTTGCGAACGTTCGATTGGTGGTCGAATCGCGTTCTAATTCGAAGTATTGAGTCGGCGACGGCGATTTTCGTAGAATCAAAATTTCTGGCAGAATTCTCTCCAAACGATTTCTCAAGTTTCCACCGTTCATAAGGCCTCAATATAGTTGGTACGAACTCCGGAGGTGCTAGTGGCGAGATGGATAGAAGTAGAGAGGCTGGAGATCAAGGGGGAGTTGCTGGTGGAGGAGTGGGGACTCACCAACCAGCCAACCCTACGCTACCTACTTCTTCTACACCATCTCCTACTACCGTGGATCCTGTGAAAGCTTTCTCTATTGAGAAATTCATGGGGGAGGACTACGAGCACTGGAGTTTCCGCATGAGGCTGATGTATACCCAATACAAGCTATTGGATTTGGTGGAGGGAAAGGAGAAGATGCCGGAGGCCGCGGAGCTGAAAGGAGCGTGGATCAAGCGATCGTTCGACGCGTACATGCTCATGGTGCAAGCGGTGGGCGGACGGCAACTTGACCACATCAAGGACCTCTTGGGTGATCCAGAGTGTGGCCCCAAGGCTTGGAGGAAGCTTCTGGATGTGCACTCACCGACACATGCTACCGGCATCGTGCTACTCGCGCGGCGGCTGCGCGACATCAAGTTCGTTGATGGAGAGCCGATGCAACCGGTGTTGGATGAGATGCGGGACATCTTCACGAAGCTCCAAGGAGGCGGTGTGGTGTACCCGGAGCTCGTGCAATGCGTGGAGATCGTGATACGGCTGCCGGAGTCATGGTCTGCCCTAGCGATCAACCTCAACTCCCAACAACCCCAATGGAGCGTGGATTACATTCGCGCGCGCATCCTAGAGGAGGACCTGCGGAGGCGGAGTGTGGAGCGCTCGGAGGAGGGGGCTGGCTATGGAGTTGGAGGTGGAAAGAGTGGCTTCAAGAAGAAGTGGAAGGGCAAGAACAAGGATAACCCTAAGGAGGATGGCGGCGGGGGTCAAGGGGAGGTGTGCTTCTATTGCAAGAAGCGCGGACATCGTTGGCGGCAGTGCTACCAACGACCCAAGGATTGGACCCCGCCTTCATCAAGCAACCAGCGTGGTGGCACAAGGAGTGGGGGAGTCATGGGAGCTAGTGGAGAGGAGAAGGATGAGGAGAAAGGCGGCAAATCTGAGGAGCGGAAGGCCGGGTTCTTCTTCTTTGTGAACGAAGGCGCAACCGACCACGCTATGGCTGCCAAGGTTCTCCTACACCCCCTCACCCATTGGGTGATTGACTCCGGGAGCTCTTGGCACATGACTCCCCGTGCGGACCTACTTGATGAGATTCAGCCCGCACCCATCTCTACAGTCACATCCGCGACGGGCGCCAAGGCCAAGGTCATGGGCATGGGATGCGCCAAGTTCATGGGAGCGGATGGAGAGCTCGTGGGGCTGAAGAACGTGCTGTGGGTGCCGGACTTGTGCGCGAACCTGATATCTACCGGCCGGTTGGGAGATGCGGGTGTGAACACCGAGACGATTGGCTCGGAGCGCTATCGTGCCTACAACGATGAGCGGCTGATTTGGGACCTGCAGTGGAAAGGGGATATCCACAAGCGGATGTGGCAGATCCCGGTCCTCCCTTGGCGGAAATCGGGCAAGGCGGCAATGGCGGCATCTATGGAGGAGAGCGTTACCGAGGAGGAGCAGCAAGGTGTGCAAGGAGAGGAGCTGATTGGAGGAAGCGCGGCGGTGAAGGCGTCGGCTACCTCGGGCCAAGCGGATTGGGAGACTTGGCATCGGCGGCTCGCACACGTGGCTGTTTCTACACTAGAGGTGATGCACAAGGAGAAGTGCGTGCATGGGCTGCAACTGCAAGGAGATGGCATTCACTATGGCAGCTGCGAGGCGTGCATGCAAAACAAGTTTGCGCGGTTCCCGTTTCCACGAGCGGAGGGATCAGCGAAGGCACCATTGGAGGTGGTGCACATGGACCTGGTGGGTCCTATGAGGACTGAGGGGACTGGGGGAGTGCTCTACTTCCTCACCATGGTGGACGAATGGAGCCGTTTCACGTGGGCGCGTCCCTTGTCCAAGAAGAGCGATGCTGCAGCGGCAATCAAGGAGGATTGGTTGCCGATGGTGGAGCGGCAAGCGATGCGGCTGGTGAAGGTGCTGAGGAGCGACCGAGGTGGAGAGTTCCTTGGAGCGGAATTCACCAAGTTCCTCAAGAGAAATGGCATCCGACATCAGCTGACCTGCCCTGGAACACCGCAGCAGAACGGCATTGCTGAGCGTGCCAACCGGACCATTGGGGAGGCGGCTAAGACCTTGTTGGGGGCTGCTGGGATGCCGTACAAGTTCTGGCCTGATGCTGTTCGCCATGTCATCACGGTCAAGAACAGGGTCTTGACGCATGTTGGTGACAAGCATTGGGTGCCGTACGAGCGTTGGCTTGGGAAGAAGCCATCTATTGACATGCTGCGTGTGTGGGGCTGCATGGGGCTTGTGATGGTGCCTAAGGAGCAGAGGCACAAGCTGGAAGTTGCTGCTGTGTGGGCTGTACATCTTGGGATGGCTCCTGACTCGAAGGGGTGGCTAATGTGGGACCCCAAGAGCAAGAAGTCGCTGGTCAGCCGTGATGTCAAGTTTGTGGAGGACGTCATGTACAAGGACTGGCAGCAGCAGCAGCAGGTGCATATTGGCTTGCGCCTGCAGGAGATTGAGCGGTCTGCAGTGGAGGAGGTTCAGCTGCACCTTGAGGATCTCCCTGGGTCAGAGCTGACCAGTGATCACAGTGGCGGTGGTGAGCAGCAAGGCGCTGGTCCTACTGCGGAGGAGGGGTTGGAGGATGAGTCGGCACGTGTGGACTCACCATCTCAGCCCGAGCCTGCTGCAAACACCAAGGTCACCAAGAGGAGTGTGCAGAGAGGAGCTTCACCACATGGGCAGCAGACTGTAACCCGTGAGAAGAGAGTGGCAGCAGCACCCTCAAGGCTGAAGTATAGCCGTTTGGGAGGACCCAAGCAAGGTGCCATGGCGGTTCAGGCGGATGAGGGAGAGGATGAGGAGATGGCGTTCTGTTTCTTCACACCCTTGCCTGGAGAACCAGCCACAGTGGAGGAGGCACTTAGTGGACCCCAGAAGGAGGAGTGGAAGGCTGCCATGGATGCAGAGTTCAACAGTCTCATTGAGAATGGGACTTGGGAGCTTGTTGAGTTACCCGAGGGGCGACGGCCGATCAGCAGCAAGTGGGTCTTCAAAGTGAAGAGTGGTGCTGATGGTGCGCTGGAGCGGTTCAAGAGCCGTTTGGTCGCCAAGGGGTTTCAGCAGAAGGAGAAGGTCGACTTTGGGGAGATCTTCGCTCCCGTTGCTAAGCCATTGACACCGAGGACTTTGATGGCTGGCGCAGCTGTGAAGGGATGGCACGTGAAGCAGATGGATATCACCACTGCATTCCTCAATGGAATACTGCTGGAGGATATCTACATGGCGCAGCCCGACGGCTATGAGGATGGGACCAGCCGGGTGTGCAAGCTTAAGAAGGCCATCTATGGCCTTAAGCAAGCACCCAGGTGTTGGTACGAGAAGCTGGAGGAGGTGCTGCTGGGTGGAGGCTTTAAGACGTCCCAGGCGGATCACAGCTTGTTTCTGCTTGGAGAGGGGGAGCAACTGCTTTTGCTGCTGGTGTATGTCGACGACATACTGCTGTTCTCACCTTCCATGGAGCAGATTGAGAGGACACAGAAGCTGCTGATGGACAACTTCAAGTGCAAGATGCTGGGGGATGTCCACTACTACTTGGGGCTGCAGATTGAGAGGGATGTTGAGAGGAGGTGGCTGAAGGTGCATCAGTCACACTACATCTCTGGTGTCATGGAGCGGTATGGTGTGACTGGGGGTCGCACTGTGATGACACCGTTCCCTGCAGGCTTCAAATTGAAGAAGGCAGCAGAGGAGGATGATGTGCTTGAGGATGAGCAGCAGAATGAGTACCAGTCACTCATTGGGAGTGTGATGTATGCAGCTGTGCATACGCGACCTGATGCTTCATTCGGAGTGGGGCAGCTGGCCAGAGTTGTGCAACGGCCCACTGTGGAGCAGTTGGAGGTGGCAAAGCGCTTGGTGCGCTACCTTGGATCAACGGCATCTGCTGGTGTTCAGTTTTCAGCTGGCGGCCAGCTGAAACAGATTGGAGCAGATGGGGTCACGCCTGGTACCTTGAAGCTGTCGTGCTTCACCGACGCCACATGGGCCTCAGAGGATGAGGATCAGTCATCGGTTGGCGGCTTTGTGTGCATGGTCGGAGGTGGACCAGTGAGCTGGAGGTCCAAGAAGCAGAGTGAGATTGCTCAGTCTTCCGGAGAGGCAGAGTACATGGCGATGTACCATGCCATCAAGGAGATCGTGCTCCTGAGGAAGCTGCTGCAGGACATGGGAGCTGAACAGGAGGGACCTACACCACTTTTCTCCGACAGCGAGGCTGCTATTGGCATGGCCAATAATCCTATCCTGAATGGGCTGAACAAGCACATGAAGATTAAGTGGCACTGGGTGAGGCAGATGGTGAAGGAGGGAGCTGTTGAGCTTCACCATGTGAAGGCTAGCAAGCAAGCGGCAGATTTTCTTACAAAGAGACTTCCCGAGAGCGCACATTGGAAGTGTGCTAAGATGTGCGGCATGGCATTGCACTAGTGTGGGCAGCAATGTCATGAATGCATGTGTGATTGTGTGCATGAGACTATGCATGTGTGTGGGTGTGTGTGCATGCAGTCCGTTAGTCTGAGGGGGAGTTTGTTGGATGCACGTCATTCTGAGTGCATGTCATCCTAACGTCCTGCTGAGTGCTCGTGCTATTTGTGCTTGCATGATTTGCATGAGCGTATGTCATTGTGCATGGCTGTTGGATATTATCATCTCTGTGTTTTTCTCCAAGTCTAACTGCTTGATCATGCAGGAGAAATCCAGAGCTTTCCAACGATACCAAGATCGCCTTATTCCGACCAAGATCGCCCAAGTTACAAGATTTCCAAGATTTGGATTTCTTATTACCTTTTTGGGGTTATATCTAATTTGGGTGATTACTTGGGACATGACTATAAAGGGATCTTTGGTTGGGTGGTTAGGAAGCCAACTTTGACTTTTGGATTGGGGTGGCTAGAAGTTTCTAGCATGGGTTGCAAATGTTGTAACACCTAGGCAAAATCCAACTAGATTGGATTTTGCATGTGACACCTCAAGGACCTCATGATGAGGGTTGCATCCTTGCTGCTAGGAAGGTTCTTACTATCCTTCCCTAGCTCTTGGAGAACCCCTTCCCTCTCATGGTTCTCTTGGAGGTCCCCAACTCCAACTTTCTATGCCCTAATGTTTGTACTTCCTCCACCATTCTAGTTATGCGGCTGCTGGACGTTTTCACTTTGTTCTCACTCTATAGACCATCTTAACGACTGATTCAACTTGGAAATGGTAGCTAAGCCTAAGACGCACCTTCCTACCGAGCGGATTTGCGTTTAGTTGAGTAATGAGTTCATCGTAAGCTCTCAAAGTGACGGATCCTGAACAACACAAACATGGCGTACATCTCAGACCGTAGCTGCTGGAACTCGTCTCGTGTAACAAACTGCCCGTGCTCTGCACCTTCAGCCAGCGCATCCATGACATCCGGAAAAGGGTGTGTAGAAACCCCTCTCTGGCCAAGGGGATCAACGTCTTCTGCAGCAGCACCGTGTGCCCTCACACTATCACGCTGGCGGGAAAAGGGAAGCTCAGGGAAGGGATTGGCAATGGTGCTTGGTTGATGCACACGCGATGGACCGGCGAGGGGGGAGACCGCCCTGCCCCGGGTTGGAGAAGCGTGTAGTGGCCGAAATAGGTATGAGGGAGAGGCGAGTGGGGAGTGCGTGACGGGGGCTGGTGGAGGGGATTCGGATTCCTCGCCTGTTGCCGCGCCGGGTGCAGTCACAGCGACTTTGCTCGGGCCGGAGTATGGCGTGAAGAACCTTGGTCCTCCTGTGGATAGCGGTGCCACACTCGCTCTTCCGGCCCCTTTCACTAGCTGCATCCGTTGCACGGTTACCAGTGGCCCAATGCCTGTAACACGGGGGGCTGAGAGTCACACGGAGGATGAGCACGGAGCTGGTGTCTGTAAGGTGCACTAGGACACGTGCAAACATGACGAGCAACCGCATGATTCTAACATGGGTGTAGCACGCAACTGTAGTGTATAGTCACGCCTTACCCGGTTTAGCCGATTCGTCAACCTTCTCCTTCCCTGCGGTGGGAAAAGAGGGGTGGAACACGGTGTTGTTAGGGTCTGTTCAGCACTAACCGCGGCAGCTATGCCAGTCGTTTGTGACACGTTGCTTACAACGTTGCTGTCCCTTCGGTTTTGCTGCCTGCTCCTTATCATTGCCCCATTTCCGTGGTGTGCTTTGGCGGGTGCTGCCTCGTTTACAGGCAGGTTCTTTCTTTGCCGAACCCACAGGTACCCCTTTCGCGCGCGGTCCCTTTCCGTCTCCATCGCCTTTAGCTCCCTGTCTCACTTGCTTCCTTCCACCCCGGTCAAGTTCAACCTTCACCTTACGCGCCTTCGATTTGCCCGCTGGTCCGCCACGCATTGCGTCACCCGCCCCGCGTTTCCGGGATTGTCCAGACCGGCCCCCCACCTTCCCTGTGCCACTCCCCCGCCCGCCTCGCGCGCCCCGTCCTTTCCCTGCCGGCTCCTCCTCCTCCTCCTCCTCATCCGCCCCTTCCTCCACCTCCTCTTTCTCCTCGTCGTCCTCCTCCTCCTCATCCTCCTCCTCATCATCCTCCTCCTCCTCTTCCTCCTCCTCCTCCTCCTCTTGCTCCTCCTCCTCCTCCTCCTCCTCCTCCTCCTCCTCCTCCTCCTCATCCTCCTCCTCCTCCTCCTGCTCCTCATCCTCGTCGTTCCCCTCATCGTCCTCCTCATCGTCCTCATCCTCATCCTCCTCCTCCTCCTCCTCCTCCTCATCATCGTCGCCCTCCTGCTCATCCTCGTCCTTTTCTCCCTCTCCTGCATCCTCGTCCTCCTCCTCCGCATCCTCCTCGGCCTCCTCCTCCCCATCCCCCTCGTCCTCAACATCCGCTTCACCAGGGCCTTCTTTGCCGCGCTTCGGCCTATTCCCCCCCGAAGATTGCTTCCCCCTCCGTCCGCTAGATGGTTTCCTCGGACCGGATCCCACCTTATGCCGCATTGCATGATCTGTCGCCAAGCCACTTGGCGCCGTGGTGCCTCGCATTGTCCCAACTTCAGCACCACCGGCGTCGTCACTGCTGGCTGTCGTCTGCCTCCTCTTCGCGCGTATGGGCATGTCCTCAGCCATGGGGGTGTCATTCTCCTCCTCACCATCGCTCTTCCTCTGCCTACGCCTCCCGCGTCCCCCAGAGGGAGGAGATGCACCTACGTCGGCAATGTCGTGTTTCGGCCCCTCCGTGCAATCGTGCGCGGCATCCTTCTCCTTATCTATCACTGCAGCAGATATTTCGACCACGGGCGGGGGGGGCAGCGTCAGATGCTGCTGCTTTGCCTCTGCCACGGACGGCGAAGTTGCGGCCTGATCTTGGCGGGGAGAGTCGCCGTGCTTTCCTCCAGTCGCAAAGCCCTCTCTGTCCCCCGACCGGACGGCAACACTCACGCCGCCACGCCCAGGGTCTTCGTTCCCGCCGATGGTGCCGTCGTCAGAATGACCGGGCTCGAAGGCAGCAGTGGCAACATCCGCATCGCTCCTGACGGCCGAAACACGCTTGCGTGCCGTTGGTTGCTTCCCCTTGTCCTCCGCCTTCTTCCCGGGCTTCTGCTTTCCCACCTCAGCCTTTTTCCCCGCCGCACGTTTCGTTTGATTGGCTTGCGCGGCGGCCTTTTTGGTAGCCCTAGATCTGGCCCCACCCTCTTGGTCGGTCTGATGCGACATCCTTTGTGTCGTGCGTCGTTTCGCCTCCTCCTGCTTTTCTGTTTGCCGAGTAGCAGGTGTCATGAGGGTGGTACGAATGCAAGTTTTAAATTGCGGGATTGGGTAGCTGAGTTAAAAAAAAAAAACCGGAAAGGTTTGTTGCTATTTGACCCCGTCCCGGTGAAGCCAATACTTTTTCACCCTAAATCGGAAGGTACAATTACACCTGAATTAGTAGCTACTAAGCACATGGCATCAGCCCTTTCCTTCGTCGCTACTCCGTCTAACTGGCGATTTGGAAACACCTGTGTTCAGCAGCGAGCGGCGTCAAGGTAGTGGGTATGAGGGTGACGGAAGCTGGTGAGTGGGGCACGACGGTAGTTGGGGTGGTTTGCGAGTCTATGGAGAGGACTGTAAGCAGAACCCGCACCATCGGACGGTCTACGATTTGCCACCCGATCAGAAACGCACTACACGCTTGATCACAGTCGCTGCTTCCGCGGCGAATGTCCAGCTTGGCTGGTGCGGTAGTGGGGAGGGTCGTTTGAGATGCGTCGGCCAATCAGCGCCAACGCATCAATCTCCACGGAATGTAGTACCGTTTCGACACCACCAATCATCACATCCTGCAAAATACAGTGCCTAGTGCATTGATCAAATTTTAACATAGTGTAGCTAAATACACTTGCAAAGTACAACTAAGACAATTTGAAGTGAATAGCCGTTTATGGTGTCATATGGTGTGAAGTTTAGTGAGTGCATGGGGCTTAGGACGCACTCTTTGTGCTTCCAACTCGTGGACTATAGAATGCTATACTGAGCACACATTGCGAATGGGCGACGGATACTGGTCGTTGGAAGTTGTTCAAGCACGACGTGTACTAGTGCCAACTGGAATGGAGATGTAGTGTGGTGTTGGCTTGGGCTCCATTCTTGCGTGGGCCCTCGACATGGTGAATTGAGGGTGTGGGATGAAGCACAGGCCCAACGCACGAGCGTTGATGCGCAATCGACATCGCTGTTTAGTTTGGCGACGGTGCTGCGTTCGCATCCATACAAGGCTAGCGCGACCAGGCGAATCCGTTGTGGAATGGTGTTGGATGGGGCTCCATTCTTGCATGGGCCCTCCGCCAGGTGCATTGAGAGTGTGGGATGAAGCACAGGCCCAACGCACGAGCGTTGTTGCGCAATCGACATCGCTGTTTAGTTTGGCGACGGTGCTGCGTTCGCATCCATACAAGGCTTGCGCGACCAGGCGAATCCGTTGTGGAATGGTGTTGGATGGGGCTCCATTCTTGCATGGGCCCTCCGCCAGGTGCATTGAGAGTGTGGGATGAAGCACAGGCCCAACGCACGAGCGTTGTTGCGCAATCGACATCGCTGTTTAGTTTGGCGACGGTGCTGCGTTTGCATCCATACAAGGCTAGCGCGACCAGGCGAATCCGTTGTGGAATGGTGTTGGATGGGGCTCCATTCTTGCATGGGCCCTCCGCCAGGTGCATTGAGAGTGTGGGATGAAGCACAGGCCCAACGCACGAGCGTTGATGCGCAATCGACATCGCTGTTTAGTTTGGCGACGGTGCTGCGTTCGCATCCATACAAGGCTTGCGCGACCAGGCGAATCCGTTGTGGTACGGTGTTGGATTGTCATCTAACCTTGCACGGACATTCAAGTAGGTGCCTCAAAGGGGTATGAAGCAGAGCCACAACGCACAATTGGCGATGCGTTATCGTGAGGGCACGAAGTTCTTGTGTACTTCCCGTATGTTGCCAGACCACACTAGAGATCTTGTATGGTTTTTAGACTGTCACGCTGTCAACTAGGGGTGGATCTCGAGCAGGCATTTTCATGTGACCGTGTAGTAGTTATCATCAACGAGTTTAGTGTATAGATTAAATGCAATTGTACAATGTAATATCCTGCGCTGTATTTTGTCCGTTGTCGAGCTCACCACTGTGAGCTCACTAACGTGAGCGCGATCTCCCCCGTATAAGGGTGCATTCCTGGTTGGTGGCAGGGCAACTGTTCACATCGAGTTGGTGGCAAGTGTACCCAAAAATTCAGTGGGCCGGAAAATGCGCTTGCCACCAACAGTTGCCCTGCCACCAACTCAGGAATGCACCCTAACAATTCGCAACTGAACTACAGATCCAAACGGATCTCTTCCCGCTCTTCCTCATCCCACTCGACTCTCACGCACCAAGAGTGCGTGAATCCACAGGCACGTCCTTCTCACGCACACACAAGACCTACCGTCTTAGAATCAAGCGCATTCTCCGCTGCTCACGTCGTGGTCTGTCAAAACGGGGGCGACACGCCTTGTAGGGAAGACGACCTGGGATGTGAGCGGTTTGTAGCGTGCCTTGTCACGACCGCGCGGCGCGCACATCGTTAGGCACGTCCAAACATAAGCTGCCCGCTCAAGTGCCAGTCGTGCAGTGATACAAGCCGCCTTGAACAGTGCGCGGTTTGGCGATGACCGTGTTGCATTACCAGCCTTCTTGCACGGAGTACGTAATGCCTTCTCAAGCTTCCCACGACGCTCGTTGCTTCACAGGCCATTCCTCAACACTTAGACAGATCCGTACCGCATGGGCTCCTTACCTGGCGTCATCTGCGAGTTTTGGACTGGATGGTTCCCCAACGCCCAAGTTTATGGCGGTCACAAGTCACGGCGGACCCCTTGCCAAGGCCTTTCCGCCGTGGCAAGGCCCTCGCAATCTGCACCATCCGCCGGACTACACGCACTGCTTTTCGTGCAAGAGATTCTGTCGGACGCTCCCGCTGCTCCCGCTTCACCTACCGCGTCTAATGCGTCCAACACCGACGCTGTGAATGGTCCTCCTCGCGTGCATGAAGCTGAAGATGACGCAACACCCTCGGCTGGGAACGTGGGGGCTTCTGAATCTGAGCATCAACCGCCACCCGGAACACCTGCAGATGACACGAGTGCAGTTCCGGGGTGCCGCCCTGGAGTGAGTCACGCGGCCCCGCCGACAATCATCTCCGGGGAGAGCAATGCGACGCCCCTCAATCCGATTGCGGTGAAGCTGCTGCACTTCGTGAGGCGTGTAAATGGCGGAATGGGCATGGCGGAGATCGACATCAATGGCCTGCTTCAGCTCGTGGTGGAGCCCGGCCTTGCGCCTCTTGTGATCTCAGAGATCCAGAACTGCAAGGATCTGGAGAGGTTCGAGATGGAGCGCTTGGTTGGGCTCAATCGCGGATGGTCAGTGGCGACCTTCGAGATTGAGGGTCATCCTCCACAACGCCTCCTCTTCCAGAACTCTGCGCAGGTAAGCCGGCCGTGGATGCGTGGCTGCGAAATGCAGATTCCGCCTCCATTTGGTCCATGTGTGCGATCCGACCCTTCCCCGCTCCCGCCACTAAACCCCTGTTTGGTTCTCCCTCGCTCTTGATGCCGTACTCCAGGCTTTTGCTGAACTGTTTGGGCACACCAACAACGCGCCCGGCTTCAAGCTCAAGGCTTGTGTCGATGAGGACCATGGCACAGGCGAGCGTCGCTATACCACGCCAGAAACTGGAACGTGGTGGAACGATGCTCAGGTATGTAAATACCCCGCTGCCACCCAAAACCACACGCGTGCGCCGTCCTCCGTTGACGCGCTGATGTGGAGGGAGCATCTTCAGTGCGTCATGTTAGTGGGGAGTGTTATGTACCATGCTTAATCCGCCAGGCGACACATTACCTTGGTGGTGTTTGACCGTGGGGGTTTTCCGTCTTTGTCGTGCATGCAGGAACACTTCGGATGGTCCGAAGTCGTGGGGGGTATCATCCTATATTCGGATGTGACGCACATGAGCAACAACGGCCGGAAGAAGGCGTGGCCGCTCACGATGACGCTTGCCAACATCTCCCAGGCCAAGCGATGGGGGAAAGCCGGGCACACGCTACTTGCTCTCCTTCCTATCCCCCCTTCGGCAATGTCTGCTGTTGAAAAGGTGATGCTCTTCCAGCGATGCGTCCTCACCGTGCTGCAGCCGCTTCTGGATGGCATGGACAGGTACGTACTCGATTTCCGTCATGCTATGTCGTCACCGTGTGCACAGCATAGTGTGCGCAGCGCTTTTGTATGTTGCATTACCCTTTGCCCCTCCTCGCTGATGCACAGAGTCGTCATGGCTGTTGACGTTACCACTCTACCCGTTCCTTGCAGCGGCTTCCGTCTCAGGGACCCTTTCGGTGATTGGCAAACAGTGCGGCCACTGCTGTACGCCTGGGTGTGCGACTACCCCGAGAGCGGCAAGATTAGTTGCACACTCTCGCATGGATCGCGGATGCCGTGCAGCATCTGCTATGCTGCCATGGTAAGCAAACATGCCATGTGAACGCCTTCAGCGCCATCGTCATCTGACTGTCGCATGACGGACCTCCTAATTTTTTCACCCTTACCAGTTCATCCCATCCCACCCCCCGTGCTACACCAGGAGCATTTAGTTGCTGTCAAGGCACGGAACACGCCGCGCATGCCTGAACAGCAGCAATGGATCGTGAATGAGGCGGCTGGGTTGACATCAAGCCAGGCCGACCCATGCAAGACCTACTCGACCCACCCAGTTGAGGTGAGCGACCTGTCCACCGCGCTACTTTCCTGTCTAAGCACTCCGTGTTGAGAAGCCCTGGGGGAGATGTGCACTGCCATTGCACTGCCCCACATGTTGGCCGAGTCTCTCGTATACCTTTCTCTACCATTCCCCACCACACCCCCTCCGCCAGTGTGTGCTCTGGAAATGGGATGTCTCAGGGACCGTGTGGGGCAATCCCTACCTCGTTATCATGCCTGACATCATGCACCAGGCAGACCTGGGCATGATGAGCCACATTGTGGCTGTCGTGCGCAAGATGAAGAAGCGGCGCGTCAAGCAGATGGACAGGTCAGTGCCTTGGGGGATTACTTTCGTGTCAAGAACACTCCAATACGCACTCTCCTCCTACTTACATGCCCATGCATTTGTGCCGGCCTTGAACTCGGATGTATGCGCAGGCGCCTGTCCCTCA